TTACAGAATACATTTTGGGGCATGTAATCTGTAACCTGTAGTGGAATACATTTTAAAAGTAACCTTCCCAACACTGTCCACACGTCTGTTTTACCTGTTGAAGGCAGCCACATTGTCAGCTAGTGTCTTCTGCTCATCAGCTCCTGAGCGGTAGTAGTCATACACAGCTTTAGGAAGAGTTTTCCTGGCTTCCTCCTCAAAGTCCGACACACACACACGCTGCATTGTTTTTCACTTCGAACTACCAGAAAACTGAAAACTGCAACCTCTCTGTGATTTGCAATAAACAGAACTAGTTTAATCATTAACCTGCCAGAGGTTTCACAAGCTGTGAGCCTGTTCACGTCCTGACTCTGCTTTACTTTTCTCTTCAGCCTTATTGATGGCATCAGACACGACGCCTCCCTGAGCCTGATTGAGCAGAAGGTTTCTTCCTATTAAAGCCCAGTTTGTCCTTCTTGTGCTTTTATTGTTTTATTGTTGTGTTGCTGTGACTCTGTCCTATAGAAATAAATCATAAATGAATTAAACTCAGAGGAGTTTCTACTTTGCTCTGTTTACACAAGATAAGACTGCAGCTGTGAGGATCCCACACCATCTGGGCCTGTGTGTTGCCAGATTAGAGTGTTGCCATGTCTAGTGCTGACTGCCTACGAACTTTGAAACTTCATGTGCTTTCTGTGAACTTTGAACCCAATGATGTTTTCATTAAAAACAGCAGAGAGGTGGTACTTTGTGGATACTTTGTGTCAAACCAGTGATTTATAAGGGTTAGCTTGTTTTGGGGGTTAAAAGCCACAGAAACTCAATGCGTCTCAGCTGTTCTGATACTCCTGACATGTACGGGATCACTACAGGTTTTCTCTTAGGTAGTGGTTGTCCTTCTCTCCTGGATCGGCTGGAGCTTTCTTTAGGAGCCTTCCCAGCTTTGACAAAAGTCCAGCTGGGACAACTACATTTACCCAGGGCCTTCTTGATGTTCTTCTGCCTCCCTTTTTGTATTTTCACCACCGAGCAGTGACAACATTTTCTCATGAAAGTCTTTCTGGTTTAGAAAAACGGTGCACATACCCTTGCCTGTCATTGTGATGTGAGTGCCTTCCTCTCCTCCATGCTGATGTTGGATGCTGGGGGCTTTGCATTGCTGAGACAGGCCGAAACTTTTGTTGCTCTGCTTCCACTTTTGCAATATTGTTGCTGTTTCGAATTGCAGTTTCTGTGGCTGTGATCAGCTCCGATCAGATTTGTCTCTGCGTCACAGCAACATTCAACCCTTTAGCAAGGATGTTTTTCTCTGCTTGGGTGAGCTGTCTGTCAGACAAATTCTTCACCCACTCGTCCACATCCATGGTGTAGCATCCTTCTCTCTTCTGGCCGCTGAGGACACTCGCCGTGGTTTACGCTACATGCAGATGAACAGAATCAACTTTTGGGGATTAAATGATGCTTGTACTACTGGAAATCACTTTATCCTTAAAAACTACGTAAACAGACATGAAGAAGAATGTGTTTGTAACACTAACATTCAGTAAAAAGGGACTAGATGTTACAGTCCCTGATAATGCATTGCTTTAGATGGAGAGACTCTTGAGGGATGGCTGTTATGAGGAAAGGCAGCCCAGAAACTTTGCCAGCAGCACACATCGTCATGTGCCTCAACCTTCGGTCTTTTACCCAGGCTAATCTGCCCTTTTCCCTCCTTGGTTAGGTTTAGAGATTACAGATCTGATCTAGATTATCATTTTAAATTTGGGACACATCGTCAGTAGTGGACCTCGGATTCATCGGATGTTTCGGCCATTATCACTAGACACCCTCATCCAAGGAGGCCCTGCCAGGTTGATCAGGCCCCGGAGTGTCACTGGTTTATGTTAAATTGTTATTTCTCTTCTTCTTTCTTCTGTTTAGTTTTCTACAGTTTATTTTCTTCTATCAATTCACTGCAACTGAGAAATAATACTTACCTCTTTAGCATTTATAGAGCCTCACTTCTTCAAAGGGATAGAAAAGGTGACAGAGAGGAGAGAGCAGAGAGGAGAGCTGGAAGGGGGGAGCCCGACCTGGCTTCCCACACCTCCCGACCAGATTGGGCTTTTCGCTCCACCTTCCCACTTTCAGCCAGAAAAGGGAAGAAGAGCAGAGGGGAGTAGAGCGGAATATTTCTTTTCTCTCGCAGTTAGCTGACTGCCTTAGGTGCCCAAGTGATGTCAGCCCTTTTTAACCATCGCCAGTGACTGGTCCTCTGATCCCAATCTCTTTGCCAGCACAAGCAGCTTTGCTGTTGTGCTGGCAACAAAGCCCCTGCCCCACTTCCACCGGGCGCACCTTGATCTTCCAGCCTCTGTCCTCTGCCTCAGCTGCCAAGTTGAGGCAGAGGACTCAACATACCGCAGCTTCTTACGCTCAAACACTTCCTCAATTGCTTCCTCCAATGGTACCGTCAGATGTATGCAAGTTTTGGGGAGTTAGACCAAAGGACGAGGTCTGGTCACAGAGTTGTTGTTATGATCTCTGTGAGAAAAATTAGCCTCTGATCCAAGTTCACCTGCACCTGCCAATCCCTGGCAACCTTCAGCGGGCCCAGGTCTGGGGTTGAGGGGCTCGTCCTCGGCTTGTCTCCTTCCCGGGCAAATGTTGATGAAAACCGACGGTCCTCTTGGTTCGTGAAAGGTTGAGCGTTGGTGGATTTTCTTTTGCACTCAACTTTCTTGGCTAGACACCTGAGAACCTGGTTGTGTCTCCATGTGTGTCTGCCCTGAGTAAGGCTAGTCCTACAACCAACCAAGATGTGCTTGAGTGTTGCTGGGACTGTACACAGGGGGCAGGATGGGTCCTTTCCAAACCACAGCTGCAGATTTATTGGAGAGTTAGCACATCGTATGTCACGCAGATGAGGAAACTTAGTCTATTAGACTCCATGCCCCAGATTTCACTCCATGAGAGTTTCCTCTTTTCCACACTCCCAATTCATCCAGCGACCCTGTTTGGCCAGCGCCACGGCTCTGGCATATCTGGCTGTTTCCTCCTGTCGCTGCACCTCCTCCACCACCATTTCCCGACATTCGGTTACAGATGCCTGTTGCCACCGAGGTGTTACTGCACCAAAACCAAATCCACCTCTGCCCTGTTGGACGTGACCCACCACGTCACGATGCCAAAGAGCAGATTTGGCCTGTAGCACAGATGTGGCTGGGGTCCACTTCCTCCCCCTTGCTAGGGTGGGAGCAGTGCCTCCCACTATGGGGTCCCGGGAGTCCGTGAGTGACATCTCAAGCCTCACTTTTGCACATTTAAACTCTGCAACCAGGCTGGGGATAGGCAATGACAGTATCCCGTCGCTGTAGAGTCCAATGCTGCTGAGGCATTTGGGAAGTCCGAGCCACTTCTTA